CCCCCATCCCACTGGGTGGGGGGAGTGAGTGAGCGGCTGCGTGGTGTTTAGTTGCTGGCTGGGGTTAAACCACGACAATCATTTAAATTGTCACAGCTGTTTCTCACCATCTTAAGACAATGTCAGAATTTGAGTTCAAACTTATGGAGACAAGCACTGTTCTTAAAGTTTTTGGCTCCCTGAGTTCAAATTTTAATTTCGGGCCATTTCCTCAGCTGTTCAATTTCATTCACTGACAAAAACACACACATGTGCAGGTATAACTGAAATCTTAACTACACTTCTGAGATTACAAGGATAACCTGCTCTAACTTCCTTAAACACTTCTGGCCCTTAATCTATCACCCCAGTAATACCATACAGAGCTGCTTTGGTAGGATCAAGGATTAACAGTATCCAGCTTTGGGGAGGAAAAGGAAATGCAAAAGAGGAATGATAATACAGCAATGAAATATGCCTCTTTCTGCTGAAATTGGTAAAGACAGAAAATCCTAAGAATTCCATTATTCATCAAAAATAATCTGCCTGCTTTTCTACAGAATTCTAGCTTCCACCTTTTCATTATTTTGTTTTTTAAATGTGTTTAAATGAGATCTCACTATCTCTCCACTGATGCCATAACTCAGGGTCTGGTGTCAGAAATTTTTATACAAATAGCTCAACATGAATACTTCCTCTGTGTATGAACTGTTTGCAGCAGTCAGGCAGACTACTACATTTTGGGGAAGAAACAACTACAAAGCATCTTCTATAAACACACCAGCTATCATGATACAGTTACTCTAAATGTTGTTATTCATTTGCATAAGCCTCTGATAATGGGGTGGTAATTGAAAACACCATCTTGCCTTTACCTCAAATAAAAAGACTGCATACTGACCAGTAACATGGAAAAGCATAATAACTTGATGGTAACTTATCCCTGTCACATACCGACAACATTTTAAGGAAAAGTTAAATGAGATGGGAAGAAATCCAAATACAATTAAAATTTCATACAAGTTCCTAACAAGAACTTCAGAGGATAAAATACATACAGAAATCAAAACAGCAGTGACAAGGTCAGTACATGTTAGGCATATGGTGATGGTTAAAAACTGTTGAGAACTCAAATCTCTTTTAATCTTCTTGTAAAACCAAAGAAGAGATCATTTACAAAGTTATACTCTGGCAACAGAAAACATGGATCTCTACATTCCACAAAAAGAATTTCCAGATAATCTGGGGGAAAATTAAGGTAGCAGAAATATATAGCAAAAAAAAAAGTCATAGAAGTTGAGAATTATCTTGTTCAGTAAGACTGAAATTAAAGTTCATAGTTTTTCCACAATAAGATTCAGGTACTGATGAAGCATTTTTAGCAAGAATTAAATAAAAGAACAACACATACATAAATCTGTTCCATCCATGTATGGTTTTGAACCTGCAGATGCTTGGCAGGTAACAGCATTAAGTTAGCTTATGAAACAGATTTGCCCAAAACTTAAAGTAAGCAGACACTCCAGTGGAAACATGGGGAAATATTTGGTAAGTAGCAGCTTACCACCACAAAACTTCTTGGCAGAGGCTTGAATGAATTTCCAAAACAGAAAGAACCGTTTGTCTCTAATTACTCAGTCCCTTTTACAACAGAATATGCCAATCTGAAACCAGTTCTGAGTTAACACAACCATGTAATGGCAAATTTACTTTCACATATATCCCACCTATCTTCTTTTTAAGGTTGAAGATGCTATATCTGAAGTTATGGCCAAGCCAGCACTTTGAAAACTTAGTAACTCTTTTTGGCAGAGAAGATACTAGGTAAAAATGCTACTGCTTGCTTTAACCAAAATGGCAGACTAACCTACTGCAATAGCCTTTCTTTGGCTTTAGCACCAGTGAGTAAAGAATGGCATTTACAGGTAGAACACCATTTAATGGTCCTTCCACATTTCTACAGAACAAGTATTTGGGGCTCATTACAAAAACTGTTTTGGAGTTGCTGTGTACACCTACAGTAGCCACCATGAGCAGAAGATCACAAAAGAGTCTAGATAAAGAATTTAATCCATTTAGACAATCAGAGCAAAGACTGATTTCCTCCTGGACCTGTCCTCAGCTACGACAGCCAGCACTAGAGATTTAGGGAAGGATTTTACCCTATTAAGATAACTCATTGCCCTTTAACATCTAACCTGGACAACCTGGTATCTACGGTTAAGCAATAATATTTAGGGAATAAAGCCAGTAAAAGCCAAGTTATATTAGCAAAACCATTTGCTAGCATTTACTGGAGCAATATACACAGAGCACAATATTACTCTATAGGTATTTTACATGAAGAATTACAAAGTGGTGTATGAAATACTATGAAAACATAGTTATTACACATTCTTTTCAAATCTCTAAACCAAGAAGTTGATCTGACAGAATTTGAACCTCTGATCCCGTTAAGTAAACATCCACAGTCCTTGGGGACACAACTCTCTGTAAAAAAATGTCTATTTTAGTTAAATTCAGTTGGGTATAACCAAACTGCAATAAGCCACTCAAACCAATACCGGGCATATAATCACAGAGCTGTAACAACGCCACTTTCTTACCCCAAATAAAAGAGATTGAAACATTAATAGATAGGAAAATTTAAAGACAAACATTATCAACAGCAAAATCAACAAAATAGATATAGCTTCCCAAAAGGTTGAACCTCTGGTAATTCATTGTTTCAGTGTAGTAATGCTTCCAAATTTCTACTACTGTATTATTAACAGAAAAAGCTACCATTAATTCTAGACAGGGTAAGGTCAAGTATAACTGGTGTGGCACTAGACTTGGGAAAGGCTTCCCCTCAGGCAAACTACCAGCATCATTGGTAAACTACAACCAAAGAGTTTCAGGGAAGGTATTGAAGACTTCCACAAAAAGTCCTAAGGTTTTTTTTCAGTTCCTTAGGCACTTTTTAAAAATAGCTATACCTTCTAAAGAATTTGAGAGAGAGGCTAATCAAGTGAAGAATCCTGCCCAGATACAAAACAATACACACATTTCTGTATAATTTCTGTAACCGCAGAGTAGCTAATTGTCTAAACACAGAGCAAGTCAGCAGCAGCAAGTATTCCTGCCAAGATTATCCTACTCTTATAGCTCAAACATTCACTAACTGAACTGCCTCTCTATGAACCTAATTTTCAAAGGAAACAACATACACAATTATGCTGACTGTCCACTCATGTGTCCCCATGCTCTTAGTATTTTAACCTATTTGCCATTTTCGATCAGCCAAATTTGTCAGAGAAGCAGTGGACTCAAGAGATAATTAAGATAATTTAGGTAGCGCAGAAATAGGTGAAGGGTACCTACTGAGGGAAAAGCTACAGTGTAACACGCAATTTTCTGTTTTGTTGACCTGCTGGAAAATCAAGCTACCTGTTGACCATCCAGGAACAAGGAGAACACAGGTGCAGGTGAGTGAAAGGAGAGGTAAGTAGGTGATGCAGACATGTGCAGGGATGAGTAAGTGCTCAGGGAATGCAGTTGCTCACACTGTGCTTTCTACTAGACTTGTGCAGGACCACCTGAACAAGAACTGTGGGTGGTCCCACACTACTGAAACAGGCTGAGCTAAAGGCTGTGAAACCCAAACAAATGGAAAGTTAATTTTAGAATACACATATACCAGAATCAGTCAACAATATAACAGCACAGCTGTAGTATTTTTGGCCAGTGGACGCTGACAGCAACCACAGTGACAACTGTTCAGCTAGAGACATTAAGTCACAACATGATTTCTGCCCCACTAATATTCTCTCCATCATCCCACATTTACTATTCTACATAATGGTTACTACAGACAGAAGCAATACCAGCCAGAATAAACTACCATAAGTCTAACTTCTACACAGTTACAAAAAGTGTCTCTGTTTGACAGCTGTGGGCACAGAAGAGAGACTCAGGAAGAACAAATCAAAGTTCTGCAGGTCAATAATAAACATCTGTGCCAAGCTCGGATATCAATAAAACAAAAAAAACCAACCTTCTCATGGAAGGAATGAGTGTTGGATAAATGTTCTCATAAAGTAAGTATTACAGAGTCACCTTCTTCCCTCTCCTGAGGGAAGCAAGGGCCAGAGAAAGAAGTTATCTGATCATACAGCAACTGCTAGGGAGTCAGAGGAAGAAAAAGTAATCATTAACATGAGAAGTTCTCAACATGAATATATCAGATTCTTATTTCCTTCCGAGTCTCAGGAAGTGATAAATTTAATTCTTCAACTACAGTTTTACATAGAGAGCAGACCTTACTACCCTAGGTAAGATACAAATAGAGGGTCTGGCAAATCTCTAAGGTATAATTTACCAAGGCCATGGAAATTTTAGCAATTAAATTCAGTCCAAAGCTACTGCTCCTGGGTCTAGAAGTGTTTTAGCAATCTGAGGATATCATGAGAAGTCTCCTTCTCATGTGCTTTGTGGCACAAAAATGCAGTAAGATCCTACAGAAAACTAAAACCACTTATGAACAGCATTATCTGCTTGCATCACAGTTTAAGTAAGGTGTTGCTTCAGCATGAAATCTAATGCCAGAGAAGTGACTCTATCTCACTTCATTAAGGAAAAACATCTGTCCAGCAGTACATTATGAGGTATAGCAATTTCCATTTGAAAATCTTGCTTAGATGGTATTGCATAATGTGCGATCCAAAGTTTTTCCACTAATGCTATCATTTTTTCACCATGCAGAAATGTCTAAAGCCATCAGTATGTAGCTAAAAGTTATTAAAATTTGCTATTTTTAATTCTTTACAACTTTCATATTTGTTGACAAATACATCATCACATATATCAACCTAATTACACTTCCATTTCCCAACTTTTGGGGACCTTAATTGTTCTAGAAAATGTGCATGTAGTCAGTGCATATAAAATTATGCTTCCCTGGAATGGTGAGCATGCACTATTTCACTGATGTATAAGTAGTTTTAATAAAAATATACAAATTTTAAAAAAATTCTACTTACACTGGGATGTTTTCAAAGGCATCTTCAAAATTTTCCTGCAAAAGAAAAAGAACTGTTTCAATCAAATGTGCATGTGTTCTGGAACTCTTTCTGTAACATAGCAAAGCCACCATTACCAGACAGCACTTAATTCTGCAACATACAGTAATAATCAGAATATTCAGAGTCTACTGGCTTTTTGTTACACTGTCAGTGCAAACCACTACTCAAACAGATACATTTCTTATGGGCCTACTGCATCAGACTACAGTCAAGTTAAACCAAAGACCTCTTCCTTTTCAGACTCCCAAACTTCCACCACATAAGTCACAGAAGGCAATACAGACTTATGCCTCAGGAGTTTGTGCAGCACATCTGATGTATCCAGGATGCACTAGCTGACCAGTATATCTACACATTAAAGAAAAAAAAAATAATTAAGCGTTCTAAGCATATAGCTGATATGCAGGTTGGCCAGAATATATATACTAGATCCAGGATGTATTATAGATAGTGTGCATATACAGCCAGCTCATGCATTAGTAGCAGTTATGTCTGGACCAAGCTGTTGACATCTGGAGGATGTCTCTTTCTATCTAGATTCAAACCTCTTTCCACCTAGGTTCAAATTCCAAAGTAAAATAAAGGAAGAGATGTGCAAACATAAAAACGGTCAGAATGGTTCAGCTCATGGATCATCTGTTTCTACACCCAGTTTCCAAAACTGGTCTGTGGAAGTGTGTAGCAGAAACAGGGCAAACAGCCCTCCCTCCTACATCATTCTCTTCACCCCACACTTTCCAACCTTCAGCAACTCAGGGAATTCCAGGCCTTGATGTGGTTTGTCCATCTGGTGATTTCCAGTAGGTCTCTGTTCCAAGTAAAGGACCAGTCTCCCCTTGATCCCATGTAGACTTCTTTTTATTCATGAGGTCATAACCTTAGTAAGGGATTTCACTAGTCTGCCACCCATTTTGTGCAAAATAATCATGCCTACTTGAATCTGGCTCATACTACCTTTAACAGTCCCTAGCTATTGAATTGAAAGACAGTGAAGAACCAATTTCTACTTGCTCTTTCCTTGACACAATTTTGAAAACCTTTGCTGTATCATCCAAATCATCTCTTTTCCAAGCCAAAGACTTCTACCTCACTCAGTCATGCCTTGAACAAAAACTATTTCCTACTTAAGACTGTCCTTTCTGCTCTTTCCATCAGAAAAAACTGGAAGCAGGATGGGACAGATTGTTCCAGTTTTTAACATATCCCAGGAATAACACTGACGTGGTGTGCAAAGGAGTAAGATAATACAAATCTCACACAACATTCTCAGGGTATGCAACCACCAATGACACAAGCACTACAGTGCTTGCATGAAACCTGCCAAAAAAAGTTTTCAAACCAAAACCAACACTAATAAAAGAAACAACTTAAGTGCCTTGCTAAAACACCAACTGCAGTTTATTTCAAGGCTGTCCACTCAAGTAAGACAATGGACATACTTGGAATATTGTTAGACTCACTGGCAATGAGGCGGAGGATTAGTGTTTTAGGGGTATTTACCTTAAGCATAACATGAGATTGAAGCTAACATTCAGTAATAATTCAGAAGACAGACCTACACTTCATGAATTTTGCATTTCTCAGCAAACTCACCAGAAAATGCAGCTGATAAATAATCAAACATTGTAATGACTCATTAACTACTGTTCCTCTGCCACAGGACAAATGCAGCAATACACTATGTGACTGTGATCCACCCTTCAGAAAAATGTTACTTTACTTGTATTTAACTGAGGAAAAATTTCCATTCAGAAGAAAAAACAAGCTGTTGCAAAAGGGCAGGACTTTTATCATCCTTCACAGATGGAATATACTACTACATCAGTTTTGAACTACTACAATTCCATGTTCTTTATTGCCTGCAGCTGCCACTGCCCAAGAGTAACAGGCATGTATTTAAAGAAGTGTTAACAGACTGCCCAAATATTCTCTTTCAAGCTAAATTTACCAGCCGACAATACTATACTAGGCAGAGCAAGACTTACTGTGAAGAATACAGTAATCAACTTAGCCAATAAATTGAACCCTTATCTGAGGGGAGCTGAACAGTTTTGAAAAGCTGAACAGAAACCAACAGGAACAAACACCCTGAACAGAAACCCTGTTACCCCTGTCTCACCCTCGACACTAACAGAAGTCAGTAGTCTTCTAATAAAGTGCTTCTCTGAAGACTGTTTGCCTCCTTGAGCCACTTCTAGAGACAAGAGGAGAAATTCAGCAAAATAAACAAACAAACAAAACACACTGAGAGTTTTCTGAGCACACCTCTGTTTTTCCTAAGAGAACAAACCTGACAAGCAAAAATCAAGGTACTTTTAAATGTCAGGTACTGATAAAGAACAGCAGAAATCAGAAGTTTACACCACGATGTAAAAACATCTGTGACATGAACCTCTTGCCTGCTCTTTCAAACCTGAGAGCAGCAGCTATGTTAAGAAGAAAAGAACTCTGTCTAGATAAGGGCCTCCTCTGCCTGGCTCCTACTGAATTTTCTTCCCTGCCATTCACACTGGTCAAATGCATGTCAAAACATTTAGAAGATGAAGTACAACCTTGGTATTTTTTCCCTGCCTACCAAAGGCACAGGGAATAATCACGGCCTCTCAAAGAGATTCCTTAAGGGAGCTAAAACCAACAAGCATAGTTTTTGTGAAGTTCCCAGTGCCTTCCCATTCCCACTGCATGCAAACCCCTTAACTGTCTCACACAAGTTTGTCGCTGGCTCTATGGACTCCCACAGATTCCCTCTACATAGAAGACAGTCAAATGCACTGAAAGAGAAGCATAGCCATTTTCTACTGTACTCCATGCCTATTACAACAAAAAAAGTTGTATCAACCTAAAGCGTATGGGAAAGAGACCGCAGCTGAAGTACCCAGAACAGCTCCTCTCAGATGGAGGTCTGGGATTCATCATGTTCCTGCCAAGATATACAAGGTTTCAGAAGTACTCAGAACATATTTACTTTTTTCCAAGTAGTCTGTTAAAACTTACTTGTAAATTAAGCCTGTTCAAGAGGAGAAAACAATTAAGAGTGAAGTGTTACATAAAATACAGAGCATCTTGAAGACTTCAAGCTGTATATAATATACAAACATGTATAGGTATGCATATAGTATATATTATGTCAATTAAAAAAAAGAAAAAATCAAACGATTGATAAAGTTCATCCATTCCTTAGAGTACAGAAGCAGCTCAAAAACATGGACACATTCTTGCACATTTGGTTAAAGCCTAGTAAAGTTCGCATCTTTGACTGCTCCTCCCAACACTGCAACTTCTAGCTGATACAGCTGAAATGCCATAACCAATTTCCAGATCTGCTTGTTCATTTCAGTCTACAGCAAAGCAGATTACTTAATTCAAGCTAAATAGTTTTACTTAGCACCAATGACAGGCTGCACACAAGTTTGTTCAAGCTTCAAGTCGTGTGCAACTAAATCAGCCATACTTGTGACCTCCACACTTAGCAGTGTGAGCATAGGAATACAATTTCCTTTATTGACATGGCCAGAGAGACTTGACAGAGACTGAGGTTAACCCAATCCTTCATTCGTTTCCTTCACCTGACCCACATTCATCCCACAGCAAGTCCCAAAGGTCCTGCTCCGGTATGTGCTTGTTGTAAAAGCCACACACATTCAGCTGAAATCTTCAGGAAACAGAAACTGCAGTTAAAGCCACAAAAAGGGCAACATGGCTTTTTTTCAGATATTCTACTCAGAAAAAGAAATATATTAACAAACATTTAAGTTGGTACCAAGAGAAACAGTTTACCAACCACGTCTCTCAGTACATAATGCTGGCTAATGCTGCAATCCACAGATTTTCAATGCACCTTTTCCAGAAAACGCATCAATCCAAGAATTTAAAACACATGAACATAAGTAAAACTGCCACTAGATGGCATGACAAAAACTGATTCACTTCTCCACAAAGCTGGGAAAAAAAACTGGCACAAGATTTGACAGAATAAAGCCATCTCAAATGATTTATCTTGAATTACATAATCTTCTTTTTTTCTGGTTGATTATTGTACTATTTCACATCTTTTTGATGCATCATTTTCAAGATATGAGCAGGTTTGAAAAGAATTAAGTTTACACAACTTGAGATACTCATGTTTTGCAAATCCAAGGAAGTCAGACAGACATAAATGGACACAGTGTATTAATGCAAAAAAAACTCACCAGTGTTGCTGAACTCTTTAGCGATGAGAGCAGAAACCATTTGCAGCAGACCACAATTCACCTATAAAGCCTCATGAAAAACAACATGCAAGCAAGACCCTTAAACTACTACAGGACGTTTACCAGTGACCGTACTTTTGTTCTAATATACTGGTAGAAAATGGAAACAACTGCTTGCCTTGATTATTACAGAAATCCTAGCATCAAAAGCAAACTCTCCTTTCATCCACATTCACTGTCAGTCATTTAACTTCAAGCAACTTTTAGACTATATCCTGTGACTCGTAAATTATTGTCTTAAGTTTGCTAATTGTTTTGTCAATCTAAACTATTCCTTTAAAATCCAAATTTATGACAAGATATGTTTACCAAGTAAGGTATTAACCATCTAGATTCTCCCCACTGATAACAACATAACTTCAGAGAACTAAGTCCAATAGTATCTAGGATCACTAGCCGTGATTTGGAGTCCATACTAGATTGGGCAAGGGGAAAAAAAGCCTTATCTCAAAAATATCAACAGAACATGAATAAGGCTGCACATTGATTCAGGAAACAAATGAGACCACATAAAATAATGGTGAAATTATACTAGCCAGATTTAAATACTGTTGCTATACCACATTTACCTGCCTAGTCACAATTTTATTTTGTAGGTACTAAATAGAGCACAGTTTTACGGAAAGATTTGAAGAACCATAAACTTAACAGTAACTCCCCTCCCTGGAATGCCCACATACTAAGATATTGCAAAGCATGGAAATCTATGAAGACAGTTATATATTTAGCAAGCACATA